CACTCAGCAGTCATAGCCATATATATCTACGACAGGCAAAAACTCTAATGAGTGTATACTCTTTCAAACTCTCTGAAACTATTTCTGACATAGAAACTAACCTTTGAAGAAGGAGAATCTACCCCCACAAGATTCCTATTTAAAACACAATTTTAGGCCCAGCCTCATTTATTCAGTCACTTTATAATATTGTTTTCTATGGATTAAAAGTCATAATGTACATTATACATACTTTCATAGGCCTAAAAATTTTTTCAGGGGTTCCTTGGTATGTACTCATCCCTTTGTTTAGACCCCATATGTTATTCTCCCAGTTAATTACCATACTTTTAAAACAAGAAAAAAATCTTCAGTATTGAACTTACTACTAAGTCTTGAGATGTGCTGTTGTGTCTGTTGATATCCATCTCCCCCTCTCACCTGTCTGTGCTCGTATTTACATTACATTCTCAAATTTCTACTATAATCACCTTTCTCTTATTTAGGTATTGCTAAAACTAGAGAAAGGTTGAAAATCTTACCTTGAAAAACAATTATTTCTATTTATCTTAGTTTCTATAACCTGTCCTTATATATTTTTAATTTCTAAACTTCTTAGATGATCCACTGGGAAAACAAAAGCAAACATATTTAATGAAACATTTAATAGTCTTTTTTGCATATGCAATAAGATATTTTAATGAGTTAAGTGAGTTTGAATATTTAAAATTAAATAACCCTTACAAATTGTTCTCTGAATTTAAAGCAATATTTCACATGCAGTCCAAAATGTTAGAGGCTTATTCTCAATGGCAGCTTCTTGCCTTTAGAATTAAAAAAAAAAAAAAGTTCTATCCAATCACTTCAAAAGCATACATAGAAGAGCTTTAATGTAGATATCAGGAGTAATATAAAAGGAATATATTGAAGAATGACATTGAAATAATAAGAAATAGTTGGTTGCAAGAATTTTCAAGGAGACTATGCCAAAACTGACAGATACCTCATTTATATTCCCAAAATTACTCACTAAGCAGATTTCTATTTTCATGGTAAGAAAAATTTTTTTAAAATGAGGAGGTAAGTCTAAACACATAATTTATAGTACCCTTGACATTTTAAAGTGATTTCAGGAAAATATAGCTATTTACTGCACTAGATTTGATGTAACTATGTAATCATAAACAGAGAATCATAGACCCTTCTCAACTGACTGATAAACTTTCAGCCAAGCAGAAATCTCCTGACATCGCTAAACCTAAGGTTTCCGAGCATCTGCTATATCGTTTTGGGGGACAATAAATCTATTCCAACCATTACATCAAAATTGTCTTTTCTTGACTCAACCAATGTTGTAGTGAAAAATAAGCATACTCTTGCTACAGAGTAGCCCTTTAAATGTGTAAAATAACTAATATTGTCAAGTATCAAGTCATTTAAGTTTTAACTATTACTCAGTTCCCTCAATAGGTCCTCAGATGAAAATGTCTCCTGGATCTTTAAACAACTTAACAACTCTTTACCTCTTAAAAAGTTTCAGTTAATCACTATTCTTTAGAAGTGGGACTTAAAACTAGAAATAAGAATCCATGTGAGGTTTAACCAGTGAAGAATTAGTTAGGAATTATTAAGTTGATCTAGAATCCTAAATCTATAAATTTAGTCTAAGAATGCAATAGTTTTGTTTTATTAGCTGTGAGATAATAGAATTATATATACAATTTATTGGTCTCTGTCCCCATATCCCAGTGCAGAGCTCCTGAAATGCTTGTTGTAATTAATTCCCTACCTAATAAGAGTCCTGGGAGCATCTTTTGTTCTAATATTTCATCTTGGACCCTGGTTCCTGAAACAGGGCTCCTAAATCCTTTGGAATTTCCTTGGTGACAAGAGTCTCTTTTGTTCTAATGAGGTAATTTTGGTGGGCTCCTGGATGGCTTCTGGATGAGAGCTGGTCATGGGAAAGGCCAACCCGTACTTAAAGCTTAGAAGTTTCAGCCCCAGCCCCGCCTCCTCAATTCTCCAGAGAAGAAAGAGGGATTGGAAATGGAGTTAATAGTGGATCATGCTTATGTGACGAAGCCTCCACAAACATCCAAAAATATGGGATTTGGAGAGCTTCTGTATTGGTGAAAACACCCACGCACTGGGAGAGTGGTACATCTCAACTTCGCTGGGAAGAGAAGCTCCAGACCTCGGGACCCCCCTGGAGCTTGCCTTCTCTACCTCCTCATCTAACTGTTCATCTGTACCCATTGTTATATCCTTTAACAAAATGGTAAATGAAAGTAAGTATTTCTCTGGATTCTGTGAGCCACTCTAGCAAATGGAACCCGAGGAGATAGTCACGGCAACCTCTGATTCGTAGCCAAGGCAGACAGAAGTTGTGGGTAACCTGAGAACCTACTATTGTGAAAGGCATCTGAAGTGCGTTGGGGGCAGTCTGGTGGGACTGAGCCCAAATTAACCTGAGGGATCTGACACAGTCTGCAGGTAGACAATGTTAGAGTTAAGTTGTAGAATACCTAGCTGGTGTCACAGAATTGCTTGGTGTGGGAAACCACCTACCCACATCTAGTGTTATGAGTGTTGTGAGTAGGGCAGTAATATAAGAGTAAAAGAAAATCACAGGGAAAAGAATGGAGATTTTCCCAAAACAGTAGCCTATACATAATATTGTTGTTTTATGGGGTTCTCTCTTAATAAAATGCTTAACTCATTTTCACTTGACATTCTGTCAAAGAGCATTTTTTTAAAACTTTAACCTCTTTTTCTATAAATGCCTTCTTAGTAGTTTAGAATTTTCTTATTTCCTTTTTTTTCTGAGTGTGATAGACATCTATTCTATTGCATCTTTAGATTTTCAAATATTGTTCCAGTATCTATTATTTGAGATAACCAGTCCTCATTCCTTTCTGCATCAATCTTGACTGTTTTGGGGCCAGCCAATGAGTTGATTGAACCAGAAGATGGACATGTGATCCGAAGTCTTTCTCTTTTTAAGTTGGAATCAAACAAAAAAATATTCTTCCTTAGTGATGGAACTATGAGATGCAGTAACTGTCAGCAGTAGTGTGCCTTGTATGAATAAAACTAGTCTGTGAAAATAAACTACTTTGTGATGTAAAGTAAGAACCACTCTGGCTGTGTTTGAAATCCTGCTTCCAACTGTCCCTGGAGTTAGCCATACCCTTAGGTTCTCCAAGAGTACATAATCTAATAAATTTATTAAAAAGAAAAAAGCCATTTTAACAACAGGTTCTAACCTAAATATAGATTTTTCTATCTAAAGTTTTTCCTTATATCTTCCTCCCGATTTTATGTCATCTATTAACTTTCTATTGTTGCTATAATATGAACTTGGTACCTTAAATAATCCGAATTTATTGTCTTAGAGTTCTGTAAATCAGAAATCTGATATGACTCTCACTGGCTAAAATCAAGGTGTCAGCAGAGCTGAATTCCATTCTGAAGGCTCTAGGGAAGGTTTCTTTGTCTTTTCTACCTTCTAACATCATCTACTTTCCTAGGCTTAATGCTCTTTTCCTCCATCTTCAAAGTCAGCAGTATTCCCATCTCTCTGATCCTGACCTCCACTGGGAAAAGTTTTTTTAAGGACTCTTGTTACTAGACTGGATTTACCTGGATAATCCAGGATAATCTCATTTTAAGGTCCTTAATTTTGAGCACCTGTGCAAGGTCTTTTGCCACCCAACACAACATATTCACAAGTTCTTAAGGCTTATAGATGGACACGTGGGGTTGGGGGTATCCCTCTGCTTACCAGGAAAACACAAACCAGCATTCCATTTCTCACGTCATTCAATTCAGTAATAAAAATACATTGAACAGGAGAAGCCACATACTCTTCACATTAACAGAAACATGTTAATCAACATTATTTGGAAACAGTTGTTAAATTCACAATGGCTCCTTCAAAATTATTTTCTGGAAAGAAAATGTTGGCTGGCTTTATCTTCCTTCTTCTGAAGATGAGTCTGAAGATCCTTACTAGATTTCCCTAGCATACAGTTAAGATGCAATATTTGAAATGTAGAATTATAAGTAGTTCCATACCCACATACTTGAAGCCTGAGGCAGCTATCATTCCTTAGTATAGAGAGTAAACACAGCATATCTCTTTGTCTTACTGACGGCTTTGTTTCCCCAAGCTGCCAGCACAACATCTGCCAGGCCAGAATGCACCCTTTCTGTGTGCCACAGAGCCACTGCCGGCCAGATAAACGACCCATCCATGCTGCACGGTGTAAGGGCAAATGCTTTCCAGACTCTCAGCAGGCGGTTTTCAAAAGGCAAAAACTTCAAGTAGTAATGAAGCTGCAACTCCTCCTTTCCCAAAAACCTTTAGAGTGGTTATGGAGATGTTGATTCTGTAATGACCTCATACTGTCTGCGATTTTATTGATTTTGTTTTTCAATAGAACTGTTAAAGATTCCAATTCTCAGATAGGCAGAATGTGGGCAGATGCTCATATGCTCACGCATAGTTCTGCCAAGATATTTTTTACATCTTTCAGCACTTAAAACAAAATGAAGACATGTGTTATAGATGCATGCTACTGGTAACCCACCAGAAGAAGAGAGGTTTTTGTACAGTCATTTCCTGGATGAAGTATTGTATTAAAACAACTCTAGTGAGAAAAAATTAACAGCTCTTTCAAAATAAAAGAGATTTTCTTCTGAGTAACCTTACAACACATTCCTAATTACTAAAACCCATTTAAATGGCAATTTGGGTCAGCATATTCAAATGTCATCCCTGCTATTTCTAATTCAACATAAACTTCTTGTCACATTTACTGGGTAAGCATCAAAACACAAAATGCTGCAACAGCTTATGCTCTGTTGATGTTCATTCATCTACTGTGCATTGGAAAGGCTCATTTCAAATATGGCATGAAAGAAAGAAAAGTAAGCAAAAAACAAACTCAGAAGAGACTTGAAATAAATTGCCTCAAGAAAAACACTCAAGAAGAAAAACTGCAAAATCATAGCCTTACCTTGGGAGACTTAGGCAGACCCACTGTCTTTTCTTCTGCCACGTTTAGCAGAGTTAGCTTTGTTTCTCCCACTGAGGGGTGTTTGGGAGGGCGAGGTGGGGGGTGCAAAAGAGAGCTTTCATATCTTCGCATCATGTAATATTGTTCTTCCGTGATCTCTTCAATCAGAGTCTTGACTAGAAATGATTCTGTATCCTGAGACAAAGTATTATTAACTAACTGAACGGTCATATTCAAGCGACTGACAGGAATTTCCCAGCATTCAGTGAGGTTAGAAAAATCACTTATGAGTAGATAAGAGTCCGTGATCGTTTCCTCCAATTGCAGTCCTGGAGTAGCAGCCAAAATGTCTTCTTCGATGAAAAGATCTCTCACAGAGACCTTCACATTGAAGGGCCAGTGGAACTGCGCACAGAGCTCAGAAATTTGGTACTGTTTCTTATCATGAATCACCTCCACAAAGCCTCCTTCCATGTACAAAGGGAGCAGTGCTGCCTCATACGATTTTTTGAGGATTTTTTCACAGGCCAGTACATTCACTACTTTTTTGATTCCCTCACAGAGGACTTCAGCGGTCTGTGAGTGATGCACTAGAAACTGGTCCCCGACAGACACAGATGACAACTCATCATGAGGCGAGTGAAAGGCTTTGGTGGCCACCACGTGGAGAGTTTCCTTCTCACTCTTCGCTATCTCGAGGTCATAAGCTGTGGGGAACTCCCGAGGTCGTCGCTTAAACTTGCCTTTATAGCTAGTGGGAATTAAAAAGTGTCTTTTAGGAAAATTACTTCTAATTTCTGAAGCTAAGATCCTAGATGCCTGATACTTTTTGTGAATCACAATGGTTTTCCCAGGCTGTAAAATGCTTCTGGGTAGCTGGTTTCCCTGAGGCGCTTCTATGACTTCAGCCACTATGGGGAACTCTTTACTGGTCATTTCTGAAAGATCTTCTGTAGATAACAGCTGAAGAAACCAGTTGGCATCATAACTGTCAGTAATGTCTTTGACTTCAACATCTAAACTGGGTAGGATGCGAACTATATCCTTTTGGACTGGAAAAGAAAAGAATATGACATTTTGTGCATCAAAATGTTGATGTGGTAGTATTACAATCTCTTGAGGTGCCGTAGGTAAATTTAATTTAAAAAAACTCTGATGTTCATGATATAACATTTCTTATATGTGACTCTCCTCTCCATTTTTCAAATTTTAAAATGAAATAGATCGTATATAAAACCAACACCCATAAAACTGTTGCTCAGCTTAAGAAAGAGACATCAGTCAGTACTATGAAGCCCAATGAACCTCACCAAAATTCCATGACCATTATTGCCTCTAAGAGTAACAATTCTCCTGATTCTAGTGTTAATCATGCCCTCATTTTTCTTTATAATTTTTTCACACATAGCATACATGAATTGATGTGCATGTGTATTAATGTATACATGTGCATTTTTTACCCACAAATAGTTTATTATATTAGTTGGTCATATCAGGTCCAGGTAATATATGTAAAATTATCTTTGAAGAAGGTTTTGGTTCATATAAGACCTTCACTACATAAGGCCCTAGACAAAAGTTTATCATGTGCCATATTGTCACATTGCAAAACCATGGGATATAGGTACTTAAGATTAACATATCGAAATGGATGCCACTATACAAAACTTTTAATTTTTTTTTCTGCTAGTACTACAGTAACACCTGGATAGAAAACAGTGGCAAAAGATGGGTCATAGTCAGAGGAGCTCTAGGTATGCTGGGGTTGGGGTGCTTACCAATGTATTCTTTGCCTGATGTATCACTGGGGCCAGATGAATCTCTGTATTTTTTTCAAGAGCACACTGTCCCAGAACTCTTTATGTGAGACTATAGAGACATTTAAAATATTGTCCAGAAATTATCTGCTCTCCATATACTGCCCCACATGGTAGCCTTATAAACATTCTTACATTAAAAATAAAGTTATTTGTTGTTATTAACAGGATATTTAATTATTTACTTTTTGACATCATCTTATCACAATGTTTCATAGTATTTTCACAATCCACCATTGTGTCCCATTGTCTCCAGACACCCTTTTGTCAATACCTTTTTTTCCTTGTATGCCATGAAAATGAATAATTTGGAAGATAGAACCTCTTTTTTAAAACATTACTTATGTTATTATATTTTATATTATTAACTGCTCATGTAGCACCTGAAAACTGTATCTCTATACTTTATGTCATATTACTTGTACATTTTATGTACCAAGTTCTTGAAGACATGGAATGAAAAACTATTACTTCCTTGAATATAAAAAAGAAAAAAATCAAAGCTTGTCTATAGGATGAAGGTTAGTAAAAATTATAAAAATTCCTCATTAATAAAAGAGAGAGGGAGGCTAAAAGAACATTTCTTATCTTTATCAGTTCATTTTACAAGATTTAGCATACTCAAACTTTTGAGATTGGTTGCCGCATATTTCCCTGGGCACCAAGGTAATTCTAGAAACTCTAAAATTTCAGTTATTTAGATAAAAATGAAGTAGGTTTAAGAATTGTAGAGGTAGCAATAGACAAGCTCATGCCATTTCTCAGTCTAGGGAACAGCTAGACATTGGTAGAATAGATATTGTTGAGGAATTTCCAGGACTCCCAAATTGATCCATCAGAACATAGACACCCTAATGTGAACTAGATCTCAGTCTATATTTGAGCACACAGTGGGTGCTAATGGCAAGGAACTGTCTTAATAACTTAGGAGGACTTTCCTGATGCCAGGGAAAGCTTCCAGACCAAGCTATCTAACCTCTGTTAAGTTTTTGTTGTTGTTACTGTTTCCAACTTCTGACCTGCTTTCAGTATTTCCATACCAAATACACTGTAGGTTTGCCAGCCTATCTCATCCTACTAGATATATCAGCAGCACTTCACAGAGTAGATTTCACTTTATCCTCTTTGCTGTATTTTCCTCACTTACTTCTTTACCTTACTTATGATTGTTCTCAATTTCTTTTCTGGTTTCTTCTGTCTACACACCACCCACCTCTTCCCCACCCCTTCACACCTTTTCATGTGTCTAGGTTCTCTTCCTTCCTCTATCCACACTCACACCCACTGTAATTTTACAGTCTCAAGTCTGTAAGTACCATCTGCATGCCAATGACTCCCCAAAGTATATCTCTAGCCAAATATTTCTCCCGCTGTCCAGATATCTACTTAGGATCTCTAACTGGATATCTAATAGATGTCTCAAAATTAATTTGCCCAAACTAAAATTCTGATCTTCCCAACCAAAACCTAGTCTATATGTTGCTTTTTTTCTATCTCAGTTATTGAAGATTTCATTCTCCTTATTCAGCCAAGAGATCTGATATATCATTGCCTTTTTCTCTTTTTCTAATACCTCATATCCATTACATAGGACTACCCTGATCTAAGCCATATTGTCTCTTGCCTAGTTTATTGCAATGGCTCCCTAACCAGTTTTCTACAGTCAAATCTGTATAGGCCAGCCAGAGATTTTTTTAACATTAAATTGATTGTGCCTTTCTTCTGCTTATAGACCCACAATGGCAGTCTCTTTCATTCAGAATAAAAGTCAATACCCTTTCCATGATCCTAGGTACCACCTGGATCTCAGCTCACGGCCGCCTCCCTGACCTTGTTTTTAATCAGGACCTTCTTTTGCATGGCATGTTTCATCTGCTTGATGTATCTTTTAGCCAGATATATTTATGGCTACTCCTCTTGTTCTGCTTCAAGTCTACTTAACTTCATCTTCTTAAATGAAACTTGCTCAATAAGTACTTGCCATAGACTGAATGATTTTGTCCCTTTAAAATTAATATGTTGAAAACTAATCCCCTAAGTGATTGCATTGGAAGGTGCTAACTTTGGGAGATGAGTAAGTCATGAGATCAGCGCCCTTACAAAAGAGACCCAGGAGAGCCTCTTAACCTTATCCCATGTGAGGATACAATAAGAAGATGGCTATCAATGAAAAAGGAAGCAGACCCTCACCAGACACCAGATCTTCCAGCATTTTAATCTTGAATGTCTCAGCTTCCAGAGTGATAAGAAGCACATTTCTGTTGTTTGTAGGCCACCAGTCTATGGCAGTTAGTTTTAGCCAACAGATGGACTAAGAAAGCACTTTAATTAAAATTATAATTATATCTGTCTCTTGCCTTCTCTGTTTCTTTATTTTCCATGTCATCCTTCACCTGCAATCATTCCATATAATTCGCTTATTTATTATGACTGCTGATTATTGTTTGTTTCCCCCAGATTGGAACATATGATCTACAGGGACAGGAGTCTTTGATTGTTTTATCAAACAATGTATCCCCATGTTTAGGATGGTGCCTGGCACAGAGTAGGCACTAAATAAAAAATAATTGTGAAACAATATCCTTGATTGAGTATTAAAGGATGTGATCCAGTTAACAAGTGGAGTTCCATGGGAAATTACATTGGAAAGAAATAGTTTCTACTGCTAAAACTCCTGCTATACATTATAGAAAACATTGTATATTTTATATAAAACATGGTTCTTTAGGTTATAATTTATCTTCCTTAATGGCTTACTAACTGCAATAAATAATTTACAGTTTAGTTTCTACAAAATAATAATCTAGACATTTTAGAGTAAAACAAAAATCATGATGCATACGTGTTGGGAAACGCCCTGTCTGGTTTTAGGAACTGTAACCCTGCCGATAGATGAGAGGGTCCCAAGGCTGGAAATAATCAAGGACGCCTTGGGAAAACAGGCTACTGAGGAGACAAACCCTGTCCTCACATCACCTTGCTTAGCCCTGTGATGGTTGATTGTTGATGATGGTAAGTTTTCTTACAAGGAGAAAAAACCTAAGACAAACATCGGATGGCATGGGCTGCAGGCATGGACTTGGGGACACGGAGAAAGGGCAAAAAGGCCCGCACCCCTTGGCTAGGCTTGGACATGGCCGGAGTCCTCATTCTATCTGAAAGCAGTCTCCTTGTCTCTTGGCGGCTCCCTTCCCCACCTGACTCAGGCTCGAAACAATACTGGAGAAAGTCTAAACTAGATCTGATGGTTCCCAGGGAAATCAGGCCTAAAAGAATATCATTTAAAGTATGCTTTGTTTATCCCTCAAAAGTTATGATAGCCAGCTCATGCTGGGAAGGCAATTTACGTTATTCACAGACGCTGACCCTAAACCCTTCAGCGTTCTCAAACCCTTGGGCGTTCTCATGTTTACGCTCTCTTGTTTACTAGTCTCCTCTAGGACCCATATATATCGGTGTGTTCCCGCCATTGTTTTCTTCAAAACATCATTTATTTTCTGTAAACAGTAACATACGGATGTAATGAGATAACCTGTGCATTCCTATACCCTAGCCCTACTGATAACACTTTCAATAAAAACTTTTGGACAAAGGGGTTCAGGGCCTTCTCCACTAGAGGGATGTGCCCTGTCCCCTCTCCTGGCAAACAGAGAAGCATTTGCTACAACTCATGTTTATTCCCCACATCCGTGACAGCCCCGGGACAGGCTCTGCGGGATTCAGAGCCCCGCTCCCATCTGAGCTGGCCCCCAGACAGTGACCCTCAGATCCCGGAGCGTGAGGCCCACGTGACGCGCTCCATCCCTGCGGCAGTTGTCGCTGCGACCAGGGAGGAGCAGCCACCCGCGCCTGCGAGCCCCACAGCACATATGCCTTAAGGGAAGATTCAACACATAGAAATAGCACATTCAATGAAAATCAACAGCTTATCTTAGATCCATGAGAGAATTGAAGTCACAGGGCAAACCATCACAGCTGAAACTAGAGAGATAGGTGAACACAGAGAGTTACGGCTTCTTAGAAGCAGAAACCGCTGCCTGGGCCATGAACTATAAAGCATAGTTTAAGAGTAAATAACTAATTGTTAGAGACTAAGTAAACATGGACAAGCTCGAGAGAGAAAATTTCTGGATGGTTTAAGAGGATTTCCCCGTACTTTCCTGTGTTTTCTTCAAATTAGCCCACCAGGTTCTCAGGATAAAGTTCAAAGAAAAATCACCTCATGCTTTGGGCAG